AGACAACTACCACCGTGCAAACGCATCTAAAAAAAAAAAATTGACAAAAAAAAAGAGGGTCCGAAGACCCTCCTCCCAAAATTTACCAGAACACGACCGTTCGGACGCATCCGGAAGCGCTGCATACCAATATAGTACAGAAACTGTATCAATAATAGCGTTAGTTAAAAGCACTCCCTCCTCTCCCTGCCCGACGTTTTGCGAGCATTGGGATCATAATAGGATGCGGACGTGTCCACTTTCCCACCCACCCCCGCCCCCCATACTCCTCCTCTTTCAGCGCCCGCGCGTGGCTGCTGGGCCGCGCATTTCTCCCCCATTTATTATATTACCACGGGGGGTAATGTGTATGCGGTTTGCCTCTTGGGCGGCGTGTGTTGGGGAGGGGGGGTAAGGGAAGACGCGGGCGCGCATAGTATGCATGCGCGTGCGTGGGTTTAAAAAAGCAACGTGTGTGGTGTGAAACCAGAAAAAAAAAAAACAGAGTACGACACCCCGGGTTCCAGCGCCATCACTGATCGCCGTACTAACGAGGCCTGTGACCGCTTAACTTCACAAATCGGACGGGATGTGGTGCATTCGGCCAAGTATGGTCGTACCCACTCCTCCCGTTTTGTGTGCTGAGAGAGCCGCGCGCCCCCCACCCTCTCCCCCCCTCTAGCCCCCATAGCGCTGCGCAGAGGCACGCCGCAGCTTGCACAATGCGCTCTATATTATGGAAATAAGCAATAATACGCATATGTCAATAAGAACATGTATATGCGTGGTGCGTGCGCGTGGGCAAGTAAATGGGGGCGAAAAGCCGCCGCCCCACATCGGATCCCCAAGCCCAAAGACAACCACCACTTTGCAAGCGCACCTAAAAAAAAAAATTTGACAAAAAAAAAAACTTGACAAAAAAAAAAGAGGGTCCGAAGACCCTCCTCCCAAAATTTACCAGAACACGACCGTTCGGACGCATCCGGAAGCGCTGCATACCAATATAGTACAGAAACTGTATCAATAATAGCGTTAGTTAAAAGCACTCCCTCCTCCCCCTGCCCGACGTTTTGCGAGCATTGGGATCATAATAGGATGCGGACGTGTCCACTTTCCCACCCACCCCCGCCCCCCATACTCCTCCTCTTTCAGCGCCCGCGCGTGGCTGCTGGGCCGCGCATTTCTCCCCCATTTATTATATTACCACGGGGGTAATGTGTATGC